CCTCCTTCCCACGGCCCCGGGGGCCAAAAGGACCAAACCCCGTGACGCGCGGCCTCCGCCTCACCTCCGCTCTCGCCGTGTGCCAGGTGCGGGGGCACCACCAGCCGCCGCCGCTCCCCCACACACATGCCCTGCAGGCCCCTGTCCAGGCCCTCGATCACCTTGTTGGCCCCCAGCGTGGCCTCCTGGGCGGTCCCGTAGTCGTGGCTGGAGAGGTCAGAGCCCGGGTCAGTGCCGGCCCGGGACAAACCCTCAATTGCAGAGCCCCTCCCAGCACCTGTCACTGCCCCTGCACGGCCTGCGGGGCTGCTGTCCCCTCCCTTCAGGGGAAAGGCGCTCATGCTGTCCACCCGGAAGGGACTGGTGGGGACGGTGGGGGGACAGGGAGGGGTGCTGAAGGGGGACCCCGACCCACGAGGAGAACAGCCTGGTGCCGTCCATCAGCGAGCAGTTGTAGTGGTATCGAACGAAGTCCCCGAGCTTGGAGGTCTCGTTGCAGGGCTCTGGGGGCCGGGATAGGGTCTCGATGCCCACGGGATCGGAGGGGTTGTGGAAGTCAACGACCAGCACGTGGAACACGAGCACGGCAGAGCCCGGGATCTTGTTTCCTGAGGCCAGGAGGGAAGGAGTCAGCTGCGTCTCCCGGGAGCACAGATCCGACCCCTTCTGCTCTCACCCTGGGGACCCCAGTAAGGACAGGGTGCTTCCAGCATCCGGAGGACTGAGCCCGCTGACCAGGAGGGGTCTCCAATCGAGGATTTAAGCCTGTAATCCCAGCCCTTGGGAGGCTGAGGCAGGAGGATTGCCAGGCCAGCCTGGACTGCATAGAGTTCAAGGCCAGCCTGAACTACGTATAGAGATCTTGTCTCAATTTTAAAAGAAACCCAGGCCTCTCTGCTCCCTACCGGTGCCGTTCTCCCCGTAGGCCAGGTGTGGGGGCACGGTGATCCTGCGGCGCTCGCCCATGCACGCCCCCTGTAGGCCTTGGTCCATGCCCGGGATGATGTAGCCCTGCCCGATGTAGGTGTCGTACGTGTGGTTCCGGGAGTAGCTGCGACAGAACAAGGCGGATGCCGCCAGAGGTCAGCAGGGCCCAGCCTCACTGGCCCGGCGCTGCCCGCCTGGGCGCCCCCGGACCTGGAGTCGAAGGGCGAGCCGTCCATCAGCGAGCCGTTGTAATGGTACCGCATGAAGTCCCCGGTCGCTGCCTGCCGCACACAGTCGGCCGGCAGCTCCAGCGTGTCTACCTGGACCGTGTCCTTGGGGTTGTGGACATCCACCAGCAGGATGTGGAAGACCAAAGAGGCCTGTGGGGGGATCACGGTCCCTGGGGAGGGGACAGGGCTTGAGCCAAACAAGCAGGGAGCAAACAGGTAGTCAAGTGGGCTTCCTGTGAAAAGCCGATTTGCTCTCCAGAGTCCTAGTTCTTGCGCCTTCTAACTGCGAGAACAGGGTCCCCAGGGCCACCAGCAGCCATAAAAAGCCTCTGTGACTCAAAATAAAGCCGCCCTTGTTTGTGAGGCAATTGCCAAGGGCTGGATTTCACTCCTACCTGCCTCCTTGGCTGGAAGCCCTTATGCAGTACACAACCTGAGCAACTGTTCCCCTCTTCTGAAGTCACCCAGTCTCTCTCTGCCCTTACCGTAGCCTTTCTCGCCATAGGCTAGGAACGGAGGGATGGTGACCCTCCTCCTCTCTCCGGGACACATGCCCTGCAGCCCCTGCTCCATGCCCTTGATCAGCCACTCAGAGCCCACGTAGGTGTCGTAGGTGCCACCACGGCTGTAGCTGCAGGCAGAGGGGTGCTGTTTGTTGGGGGCCCCTCCCTCAGCCAGCCCACAGAGCCTAGGGGCCCGCCCCACCCTACCTGTTGTCGAAGGGGGCGCCGTTCAGCAGGGAGCCGTTGTAGTGGTAGCGCACAAAATCGCCGGCCTGCACCATGCGCGGGCAGAGCGGCGGCCGCAGCAGGATGCTCACCTGGACGGTGTCCGCCTTGTTCCACACGTCCACCAGCACCACGTCGAAGTACAGGGTGGCGTCGGGGGGGATGAGCCCCGCTGCGGGCGGGAGGAGGTCTGG